GCTAGTTGTGCTTTAGATGGTTCTGGCCCCTTTTGGCAAACAGTTGGAGTGGCAGCCCACAAAAAAAAAAGAAAAAAAAAATCCTTGCAAAAATTCTGATTTTCAGCTCCCAAAAAATGCATTATATCTGCCAAATAGGGTTGAGTTCCATACCAGAAAAATAAATTGGGTATTGAAAAACAAATGAATGCCTTAAATTGAAGGGAGAATGAGATGGTACTTATTTATCAAGAAAGAGAAGATGGAAATGGGTGAGTTGGGAGAGATGACCACATAAATAATATAAGGGAATGTTTTTGGTGATGACATCCCTAGTTGCAGCTTTAGAGTGTTAAAATAACTAGAGAGAGAGGGAGGCAACATAAGGAAGCTTTAGAGTGTTCAAATAACTAGAGAGAGAGGGAGGCAACATAAGTAAAAAAAAAACAAATTGAAGAGAATGGACAAAAAAGTGGCTCAATAGAGTTATAGAGAGATAAAATATCAAAGGAAAAAGCAAGGGAAAATTTCATATAGAATCCTAATTCCTCATATTATTTCATGGTAGATCCTCATTTCATTTTTCTTTCAAGCAGCATAATAGAGCCTCTAAAGATTTCACCATACCCCCTCATCTCTTGTCTCACTATTTTATTGACTTTTGATCATAAAAATTAGCCCTAACAAATCTTTTTATACCATTTTAATCCAAAAACTTTTTTAATGTGTGAAAAGGGAAAAAGATGGTTAAAAAAGCTTTTAAGATGAAATGGTATAAAAAGATTTGTTGGGGCTAATTTTTATAGTAAAAAATCAATAAAAGAGAGAGATAAGAGATGAGGGGGTACAGTGAAATCCTTAGGGATTTCCTTATGCCGCTTGAAAGAAAAAGAAAAAGAGGTCACACCATGAAATAATATGAGGAATTAGGGTTCTATACGAAAATTTCTCCAAAAAACAATCATATAGTGACAAAATAGAAGCAAAAAGATAAACAACAAAAAGGTTATATAAAGGAGAAATAACTATGTACAAAAAAAACAAAAAAGGTATTTGCCTTGCTTGCGTAAAATTGCAGATGGCAATAGCGTGCGTTGGTGAACTCAAGGGAAAAGAGAGAAACGGTTGTGTCTCGATAGTTTGATGGAGCCCACAAAGAAAAGAACTGGCTCTGAAACCAACATCAAAATATAATTAAAAAAAGTTTGATTGAAAATGATAGATAGAGAAAGATAGATATGGAAAAGTGATTTTTGCTGCAAAGCTTGTGGATAACTAAAGAGATGGGCAATGACTCTGATTTTTCTCTAGATGAGTGAGCCCCTTTTATAAGCATTGAAGATTATCCTCTTGCCACATATGGTAGGTTTTGCATTCAATGGTTTAGATTTCTCTCTGTACATATCAGTAGCTAAGCCTTTTTTTTTTATCATTCTCTCTCTTATCCCAAAGAAAAATGTTTGGTCTAATGCGACCGTTAGAATATCATTGATGGGTGGTTAAAAAAACAGAAAGAGAATGAAATTTATCATAAAAGATAGTCAAATGATTTGAATACAATGAGACTATTATAGCAAGTATATAATATAATTAAATTAAATTAAATATATTTGAAAATAGAAGATAAGAGAGAGACCATGAAAACTATGGTAGTCTTGAGGCCTTAGTGGCCATACTCCAACATATATCCTACATTAAATAATGGATTAGAGCAATGCTGAAATATGGAGATATATTCTTTCCTTGTGTTCTAATAACCAATGAGGTATTTGCATGCTTGCACCAACACATGAGGCGTCCTGAGCTTGAGCATGCTTACAGGCCTGGCTCATGTGTAATTTGGTCTTTGCAGCGTTAATATTTTTTGCCGTTTGGTTCCATTATCATAAGGCTACTCTAAAATTGGCTTGCTCCAAAATGTAGATATAGGTCCTCTATTTGTATGAATGCTAACAAATTCTTCCATTATTGATAACTAACAATAGTGGAATCAATGGTGCAGAATCAACATAGGACTCTGACTCAACACTACCGACGAACGGATCCATTGACAAAGCCAGCAGAGGGACGACGTGCAGATATGGTAATTATCAGCCTACAATTGAAGAGGTGCCACTGCCATTGGAAATTTCATAAATTACAACATTGCCCCTGCCAGCAACACTTGTGGCTTTAACGTGTTATATTAAGCGTGATGGTTGTTTTATGGAACTTGAAAATACACCTGACCGTTGGTTATCCAATTGCATTTTGGTTGCAATTGATGAAACCTTTTCAACAGTTATGATTAAGAATCAAAGGGTTACAACTTATCATATAATATAGGACCCGGTATCTATACGGCCAAGCTCACATATGTAGAAATACGAGCCTATTAATAAATGTATTTTTGAGATGGATTTTTGGACTTAATTTTTAATGATATGTAATCTCTAACACGAAGATCATGAGTATGAAAAATAAATAAATTTTAAATACTAAAAATAATAATTTTAGTAAGAAAACATTTGGACCGTTAGTTTCTATTGTTTATACATGGAACACCTACTTGCATCCATCTTTAAGATGGATGCTTAATACTTTTTTGACCGCATATTTAGTTATGCGGTGCTTAACACTTTTTTGACCACATATATAGTTATGTGGTCCAACCCACATGAGACAATTTTCCTATAACATATGTATTGAACAATTGCATTGGGTGGAAGTGAAAAGGGAATTTCTATCTATAGAAATGAAGATTTGTTTTTTCCTCATTTGTAACTAGACTCCTCTCCTATTTAGAACTTGTATTCAAATTTTCGCTCTCTAAAAATAGGCAACTGATGCTCTAGATAATGAAGTACTTATGCAGTTGTATCCGTAAGTATACCGAGAGCTAATTTGCTCGGTAAATACTCGTGCGTAGAAACAAAAAGATTATTGTTCCTAGATGCGATCCACTTGTGCCTTAAAACAAGAAGCTTATTGTTCCTATTATGGCTATGAAGAGAAGCTTTATATCTATCTTTGCTTTTTTGCCCCATTTCACCCTCAAGATTATTCTCGCCATGGTGTTCTAACGAACTCCAAGTCCCTGCGACTTAGGTGAAGTTTGAAACTCAGCATTTAAATCACAAAACAAGGTTTCACCATAGTTATATGGAAAATTCATGTTTATCATTTTCAAAATACCATGGTTTGAGGATCTTGTAATATGTTTTTTTTTTTTGCGTGTGTCAGTGGGGAGAGGGCCTTACCCTTGGTAGAAATTGAGCGTCGAATGTAGCGTTGCAGATCATCAAGTACTAACCAATTAAGCCTGGGCATGAGGAAATTTGATAAACAATATGATCAAGGTCAGTGAAGTGAAGGTCCATTCAACTGCAGTGCTACGGTGTAATTTCAAGAGAAGAATTCTCGATCCAACCAGCTTAAAACAACCTGAATTTAGAACATGGAATCTTTTATCCTACAAAAGTATTCAGATTAAAAAAAATTTATTTGAAAGTGATTCAAGAAAAAATCTTTGGATCAAGAAATTGGATTACCGAGGTGAAAAACAAAAAACTTCAAATCTGAATTGAAATAAGGAAATTGCAGCGTGCAAGTAGTTTTTTTAATGTTCATGTACAATTACAACAAAAATAAAAAAGAAATAGCCTTTTCTATCACACTCTACTCCAATTGCTTATCATTCTAATTCCATTAATGCATACTTTATTTTAAGCAAGAAGATTAGGTTCTCTTTTATTGAGCGGGAAGAAGAAGAGTTACGAATCTCCAACTCATCCTTTTTTGGTAGAACAAGAACACAAATTCATTATCTCTAAATCAATGAATTGATTCACTTCTAAATGTAAGTTCCCTAAGGCAACTAACATCCACCTTAAAGATGGATACTAAAAGGCGGTACTCCCATCAAATCTATACATCAATGGTTTAGACAAATACATCAAAAGTACTACTTTTTATTTAATTTTATTAATTGATATTCACCATGGTATAGATTATCAATCCCTAAAATTTTTGAATTGAAAATCCATTTTTGATATGGATTTCGAGGGATGATTGAGATGGTCCACTCATAGAACCCTTTTTTTTAAAAACAAAAAAAAATTATAGATGCTCTCAAAATCAACTTTCTACCCATCGTAACCCTAATACTTTTTGTATTATATTTTAAACCCCAATACTATTTTCTCTTCTATTTACCTCAAGTTAAATAGTTAATGAATTTTCCCCGTTTCCAATATATTATTTTATATTTCTCTCTCTTCCCCTGCCCTTTTTTTTTCTCTTTGTCTTTTTAGTTGCGTGATACACTTGCTTTCTCACTTTTTCTCTCTACTCGTCCTCTTTCTTACTTTCTCTCTTTATCTGCCCTCTTTTTTTCTCTCTCTACTTGTTTCTCTCTATCTCTCTATCCTCTTTCACTCTGTCTCTCTCTACCCTCCACCATTTCTCTTCATCTTTTTTGCGATTATTTTCAATGTGTCGGATTACATTATATGAGAATAACTTCTTGGAATTTATGTAGTCCGGTACACTTCTTGTTGGACCGAAAAAAAATTTGCAAAAAAAATGGAGAGAGAAAAAAAGTGAAGGAGGGTAGAGAGATAAAGAGAAACATATATAGAGAGAAATGGATAGAGAGAGAAAGAGGGGATGGATGGATAGAGGTAGTAGAAAAAGAAAAATAGTGTTGGGATTTAGAATATAATATAAAAAGTATTGAAGAGCGTAGGATGAGTAGAAAATTGATTTTAAAGGTACTATAATTATTTTATTTATTTATTTTAAGCTCCTACAAAATTGGAAACCACCACCACCACCACGACCCAAAAACCCCTTTCCTTATTCATGGAAACCTTTCCTTCAAATAACCCCTTTCCTTGCTCATAGAAACCTTGCCTTCAAATAAAGTCGGTTTGAATTAGACTGCCCTTTTTTTTTTTTTGGGACAATAAAATTAGACTGCCCTTTTTACCTATTTTTAGATCCCTATTGCTACCAATGGAACATACACAAAGAATATATACATAAGACATGGTGAAAGAGAGAGCAAGAATCCAGCAGTCTATGTATAGTGATGCCCAAGAAATAACAAAATTATTTATGACATACAACTAGGTCCATTTTATAGTTCACACCCTCAATTTTTCTCACTCAAGACTGTCACGCATGTTTCTCTCTCTACCCCTTGGCTCTCCCTCCTTATCCACTCCCACACTGCCTCCTCCCTACTCCCTCCCATTTACACATTATCGTCCCTAATCTTTCTCTCTATTTTTCATACTCTCTCTCTCTCTCTCTCTTTCTCTCTCTAGTACCAGATAATGGCATGTATGCTACCGCAGTTTATCCATATAAGGACCAGCTACCATAATAACTGTGAGTATCTACTCTCAATCTGCTTTTAGTTGCGGAAAACCCTTTCTATTTTGAATTTGGCATTTGGGTTTGATTTATGGGACTGTGAAGCTTGTTTTACGGTCGCAAGTTCTCTTTTCCATGGCTTTTTTTTCTACTTTGGGTTGTATTTTTAGGTTGGTTGGAGTTTTTGGCTTGTTATATATTTGAGTTGATATTGGTTGGAGTTTTTGGCTTGTTATATATTTGAGTTGATATTACTGTGTTGGGTTTTTATGTTTATTTTTTGGGTTGGCTGCTTGAATTAATGGTTTCTAGGTAATGGACATCTCTCTCTTATTAATGGTTTCCATGTAATGGGCATCTCTTTCTCTGGTTGAGCAGCTATTGGAATTAGAGGTTTTGATTTCATGGGGTAGTTTTTCCATCACCATTATAAGTAGTATTATGTTGATCAGAATGAGAGTTGAACTTGTGAAGTAGTCTTTGAGATGAAAGGTCCCATGGGTTATGCTTGGTGTTTTCGAATAACTGGAACCATGCTTCATGAATTGCAGGTTTGTGGAACTGAAGTTTCTCATTTTCTACTTCTTTGTTATTCAAAGTCTTGCATTTCAATTCTTGTAGGAAAACTAGTTTACATGTTGTCCTTCTCTCATTGCTTCATCGGTAGCAGTTTTGAGAGTCTGAGCAACTTAATTTATTGACAATAGATCACAACCCTGAATTTCCTCAATGATTTCTTCCTGAAATTTAGTACGCAACACTTTCTTATCCCAAGGGAATTACTCTTCCTAAAAGAAGAAGAGAAAGGTGATTAGACTTGGAGTTAAATATCAAACTGGTATAAAGAAGAAATTAAGAGCTTAACAATAAGGGCTTCTCAGTACCAATCTCCTAGGCTTTTCTTGCATATATTATTATTTTAATGCTTGAATTTGGTTGCACAGTTTTTCTGCGGGTTTTACCTTTGTCTATTCAAGTTTTCATTGCATACCAACTAACCTTTTGACAAGTGGGTTCCTGGAGAGTTCATCGTATCCTTAACCTGCCACTAAATTGAGCTGAGTCCATTTACAGATGTAACTTGAGGGAAGCTACAAACAGTTACCTTCTTGTCATATTTCTGGTCTTCTGAAATTGTAGGTGGTTTGCAGTATTTGTTTTCCACGGTCCTAAGTGAACATGCGATCACAGAGATAAGTTCATTGGTTGCGATTCATAGTTCTTGATTTGGTATATTTTTGTGTCGATATCATAAAGCAATCCATCAAGGGGCCTTTATGCGAGATACACAAGGTTTTTTGATTCATGAGTGTAACTGTGCTTTTCACAAGCAACTTTAGAGGTCTCAGATGTGGCAATCATCTAAACCTTTTCATTTATAACCATCTTGGAGGGGTTTGCCTGGGCTTATCGACATTAACATGGTGGGGACTTTAGGCTTATTTTTGGGTTTTAGTCCACTCTAAGGAATGACTATTCTCTCACCTACATTTCTTATGTTGGTCTGTTGTGGGGCCTCACTTATCCAACCTGAAAATCATATATTTGACAGCTTCTCATTTTGTATGCCATTGTATTTGATAGATTGTATGCTATTTTATTGGATAGGCGAATGGTTTTTACAATCTATAATGCTTAAATGATTTGCTGGCCGTGGGTTTGAATAACTACAGCAAGGTGGAATCTTTGCCAGGTTAATTACTTTGGATTCATATTTGTCTTATAGCCGTTTGAGATCAGTTTCATATGATGGATTTGAAGTGGATGGTGAGAATCTGCTGGATCTCAATAATTCAACAGTTGACTTGAACTTTCGAATCTCGTCAGGGAACTTCCCTTGTAGTGTGACAATGTTCATTTCATACGTCCCCATGATGTTACAGAAGCAATTATTGGTAAATCTTTTGTTGCCTACACGACAAGATGCAATGTATTGTTATGCTTCTCAAATATCAGTCTTAGTGCATCTTTTGAGATTGACCTGGTTGTTAGTCATCCTTCACATGCTTATTCCTATTCACCTAAGTAGCTCTTGAATATGATAAGATTTAGCATGTAAATGCGTACTGCAAAATGACACTCGACTATTTGGCATGCTGCAGTTGAGAATCCACAACTCTTTAGTAATTGCTTTATTCATCTATCCTTGTTGTTATGGTTTTATTAGTGGGCATCTGCACACTGTTCCATCTCAATGAGCTACATTGGATGACATCAGTTCTTCCTTCAAGCATCTACTATTTCGGGTAGTTCCTCGAACACATGATTTACATTTGATGCTTTGATTGCTTGATGCTGTGATAGTTAAGTCCGAACTAGTCAGCATTTCTTATGAAACCTTGAGCAAGGTTGGAGCCATAGTTAAAAACAACACTAAGGAAAGAGATTGGGACTCTCTTTGGTTGACTCTACCTTTTCTTTATTTAAAGACTTGCAGCTTGTGATTCAACGCAACTTGGTGTGTTAACTCATAAAGTGAAACTGAGTTCGATTTTTCAAACTTTGGTTGGACTCCTGATACGATACACCTAAATATCTCTTGCATAAATTTGAATATCAGCTAGCTGTCTTGGGGCTAAGGCTGTTCAACTCAACTGTGCTTAAGTTCTTGAGCCTAGAAGATTCAATACTGGAAAATTCCAAACTTCGTGAGCAAACTGTGGATTTTTGGGACAATGGTGATTCCTCGAGTTTTACTCGATTCCTAAAGACTCAACTAAGTACCACACTGTCCAACGTGGCAGGTGCTCTAAAAGTCAGATTCTTTTCTTTTGATCCCCAATATTTACTCCTATATACTTGTTTATTTCACGAGGTTAAGGGATGAATCCTGAGTTATGGTCTCTAAACTTTGGTATCAAGTAGGAACTGTTGTATTGATCATCTAAACCATTTGATGCTTGGGAGATTTTCCTTTTTATAACTAACCATTCATTCAAATGCTCTGACAAGGTGGCTGTCATAAACCAAGATAAAGCAGTACAAATTCTTTTTTTTTTCCCCTGGTGAGGTTGGGGGTGGGGATAAGGTTGGTGTTAGGTTAAGCGGTGGAATTCAAAGTCTTTCACATTTAAGTTGTGAGTTAACTGTCCTAGCCTCCAAGCCAAGCCGTCATACTAGTTCAACACTAACTCTTTCGATATCTCATTCGATACCCTATGAGCTATCCATGTTGATGCCTTCTATCCCTTAGGGCTCGTCTTGAGGGTTTTACAATTGATTTGAGTTTTAAATTACCCTCTGGGGAAGGAACCTATCTAGCTTGAGGCTTGGGAGGCAGAGATACCTCAGCCATGGTCCTCTATTCCCTCAAAAACTTGTAACTGAGGGCCTAAGAGATCATAGTAACCCAAATCTGATCTTTAACTACTGGGCTGCTCATTCCAATCCTTTTATGAATTTATGTGCAATGTGGTCCAAGTAGTAGGCTTCACCATAATGTAAAAGTTTTATCTTACCAAAGCTCTATGTGCTTTTTTTTTTCTTTTTTTGAGGATATAAGAGATTTGAGTTTATTTTGTTTTATATGTCTTACAATGTGATCCTATGGTATCATCGTGCTACTTGAGATCATTTGGAGTTGTGTTTCAGAAAGTCTGTTTTACATATAAGGTGTGACTGTATGTCAATTGAATGGTTTAAGCAGGCATTCTTTTGGAAAATATCACTCCTATTCATGAAAATTTAAACATGAATGTATGGTGCTTTTAGATTTATTTAATCAACCCCTATCCCTGTTTACATAATCAACATCTAGCTCCACTTATAATGGATCTACATTAATTTATTGGGTGGTAGTTTACTCCCATTCCTAATACATGCAGTGTTTCAAAAAATGCTAGGCGGTGCCTAGGTGGCTGGGGCTGTCCAGGCCGCCCAGCGCTTAGGCGGACGTCTAGAACCTGGGCGGCCTAGTAGATCTATAGTCTAACAGTATAATTGTATAACACATAAGACAAAAGTTAGGGACTTAGGGCAACATCCTCCCTAATGCGTCTTACGCAATTTTTGTCCAAAGGATTCGGGTTGTAGTCATATTTTGATCTCGGATCACCACTTCGATTAGATCCCGTAGGAGACATTTCAAAATAATACAAGCAATCTAAAAAATAAAAATTTTCATTAGCTTTGATTGCTCGATCTCCAAACTTCCACCTCTAAGATGTTTTCTAAGGTCAAAATCTTCTAGAAAGCCCTCAAATAGACTTATAAAACTTCCGAAACTAAATCTAATATCAATGGGTGATGCTTAGCTTGATTTCTCGTAACTTTGAGAAACACTTCAATCCTATGGCAATCACAAAAAGCTAGTTTTTTGGGGTTTTCCTCTCTCTAAAATAGGCTCTAATGGGGTTTAGGTTTCAAATGAAGCTAAAACCTACAATTTTCCCCCTTTTTTATTTTAAAAAAAAACTAAAAATTCCCCTCGACGAGGGGCATTCCGCCCCTGGGCGGCTGCCTAGCGCTCGGCGCCCGCCTAGGTGGGTTCTCTAGTGTCAAGGCGGCCGCCTATTTGGGCTGCCTAGGCCTGGGCAAGGCGGTCTGCCTTTCTGGACTGCCTAGGCGTTGGGCGGTCTTCTTTTTTGAACAATGAATGCATGGGAGATGAGGAGTCAGTTGCGTACTTGGAGATGAGTTGGCTTGAGCTTGTTAATCTTACTGCCCTAGGTCTAGGTCTTATCCATACATTTTTTACTTCTTCAGCACACCCTATCCAAAGCGGGGCTTGTTACCGCATATGGAGATTAAGGGAATGTTGGAGGATGAGTAATGGTTTGAGGATCATCTTCGCAGAGGAAGATATCGTGATATAGCTTGTCAAACCCTCACTTCAGTTTGTGCCTGTAGATGCCTTAACACCATTCCATCAGAATGGTTGTGAGATTGAAAAGCATGAATTCCACACATTGCTAGCTTATTTATTTTACTTAAAATAAAGTTTTCAGTAGAAATATAAATAAGTTTTGTCGTTACTATGAATCTCTATGATGTAGCCTTTGCTCTTGGGAAGATATCCAAACATTCCAAGTAGTAATTATGCTGCAGCCGCTGCGCGTTGTCCTTTCCTAACATTAGTGATCTCTTTTAATTGTGTTCCATTCTTATTTGCAAGTGAAGACCAGAAAGTTTCATGGCTAACTTTTGTTACTTGTGTTAATTGCTGCACTATGTGTTTGCAGTAAGGACTAGAGAAGCTACTTGTTTTCAGACGCAATGTGTTTCATCAACAGCAACAGTGGTTGTAGATGTGGATAAGGTGCGGGTCCCTTCTTTGGGAGGTCATTCAACTTCAGTATCTACCCATGGACCTCTGACATATGTCGGAACCATTGGTTCCCAGAAAAAGGTCAGAAGATTACGTTTTTTATTTTAACAATTTCTTTAATCTTAAAATGTAAGGTGGCTTATTACCAAAGCTATTTTCAAAATATTGAAATTTGCAATCCAAACGTAGCATTAGTTGACTATTAAAAGATAGAAGATCTACTTTCCTCTGAATATCAATAAAGATGAATCTAAAGACATAGGGTTGAGTTTTTCTGAACAAATCTCTTCAGATTGTGAGAACCTTATTTTTTCATTACAAGAAAATACAAGGTTGATGCCTTATCCATGGTAATAAACTTGTCTTCTTGGACAAATGCCATTGTAAAATAGAACACCTGGCTACGGAAAAAAAAAAAAAGGAAAAAAGAAAAGAAAAAAAAAGTATTAATTAAACTTCTAATGATCTCCACTGATGGATGTTTTTCAAGAAGTTGGTTTGTCTTAGACGGGATATGTTATATTCTTTTTTCTTTTTATCTAACTAGTTACCCACTTTGTGGAGGTATCTACCTTCCAATAAACTATATGAGAAGTATAAAATGCATAAAAGTTTGAAGAGGTCACAATCCATTTACTACTGATGGTGATGGAGGGGGGGGTGGGGGGGGGGGGGGGGGTGGGAATCAGAATAAAACATGACCAGTATAGTGGGTCCTCTCTCTCCACTTTCCATCATTTCCATGGACCGTGATCTCCCAATAGACAGAATTTTCTTAGCGTATTGGATTATAGTATACTTTCTTATTACTCGTGCATGTAATGCACCTTTATTTTTATCAATCTAGCCATTTATTCTCCATTTCACATTACACAGACAGATTTTGAGGCCGCCTTAGTGACCGAGTCATTGCTCAAGAGTGAAGAAGCCATAATAGCTGCTGCGGCTGCTGAAGCCATAGCTCTTGCAAAAGCAGCAGCAAAGCTTGCCAAAGATGCAGCTCTAATGGTTGGCAGTGTTCCACCTTCAAGATCCGACAAAGTCGATGATTTCCCATCAGAGGCCGATATTTTAAGGCTCCAGAGGGCTAGGCTAACTGAGATGGAGCGAATTGGTTCGATGGATGGCTCTTCCATAGCTGGTATTGGACCACGTGATAAGCATAAATCGGTCAACCAATTGAGCCCCAATGAAATGGCTGATAAACAATCAAGGGAGAACATTTTAGAAGCGCTACAATTGCAGCATTCTCAGAGGGTTGCAGTGAGATCAAGGCGTCAAACAGAGAGGAGAGCAAGGAGGGCAAAGGGGGTTGAGAAGGCTGCTGCAAATGCCATCACTGTTAAGTTGGGAACAACAAGCAGGAGAAAACGAGCTCCTTTGCAAGAGATTGACTACTCCGATCCGCTTCGTTACTTGAGGGGAACAACAAATAGTACTAAGCTTCTCACAGCTACAGAAGAGCTTGAGCTATCAGAGGGAATACAGGTTAAAATATGGGATCTATGATGATAAACTTGACCTTTTTTAATGAAAGAAATATTCTATTGAAGGGTCATGACCCTTAGATTAACCCTAAGATTAGGGAAAACTGCCACCTCTCAGCATGTCTTGTTCTTGCTTCCTGGCGCTTTGATTTTCCAATTTTATTATTTTTAGTTTTTTGCAATAAGAGACAAGTTTTCAGGACTTATTTTCCTGATATGATAGAAGTGTCTAGATTCTTGTATGGAAAAAAATACATAGGTGTAAGGGCAAATGACCCAGTTGCAGAAATCACCTGGACTTCCAATTTTCTCTCCAGCCAATCACCTGTCTTAACTTTTAAGGCCACCTGCATGCATTTTATACTTTTTCATGAAACATGAAGCGAAGTTTTTTACTTTGAATGATGGATATCTTTTTCTATAACATTCCTGAAGGAGCCTAGTTTTTAATTAGCCATATTATGGAGTTGGGAAATAGCTCCTGTCATTCCATCTGATTAGGATTCAGTGCCATTGGTTAGTTGGAGCAGAACTGATAGGAATATCTTTTAGATGATAATTATAAGATGTCTCTTGGAGAGAAAGGGCCTCTTTCGCAGCACTTATGATATTTGTTTCTGAAAACTCATGGTTTTTTAGAAAGTTAAAGGTGAAAAATGGAATTTCCATTTTGATAAATCGTGATCTGTTATGTAATCCTTTCTCTTTTCTTGGGTAGGAATTCCTTTAAGCTCCCTTGCATCTGTGCATGAAACACCTCAAAGAGACATATTTTGGTACTTGTCTTCCACTTCTGAAATTTTGGTGCCCTTTCACTCTGCATAGGATCTTCTCAAGCTTGAAAAGCTACACAAAGAGCTTACAGAAAGATTTGGTGGGGAACCAACTTTTGTTCAGTGGGCAGCTGCAGCTGGAATTGATCAGAAGGCATTGAGGAGGCGGTTGAGTTATGGAACGCATTGTAAAGACAAAATGATCAAAAGCAACATACGACTGGTTATTTCTATTGCAAAGAATTACCAGGGTGTAGGGTTAAGCATCCAGGATCTTGTTCAGGTTTGATTTGACAACCTAATTAAATTCCTTCTTCTTTCATTGTAGGGAAAGTATGCAATAATCCAATGGACTTCAGGAAACATTGTCCATTGGGGCCATTACCATCCAATGGAATGCTAGATGAAGAAGAAGAGAGTGATTGCGGTACTGTAAATTGGATACTATCCTGTTCTGATGGGTTCCTGTTGCTTTTCACACTGCCTATTCCATTGAATGGTGATGGTCCCAATGGCCTATGCTTTTCCATTGTCCATTGCATCAGCATAATTTCTTTCTTTCAGAAAAATATTTTGGGAAATGATATATCATGACTTTCATTCAAAGTGAGTTGCAGGATTTTGATTTCTCTGTTGTCATCACTGTTTGTTCTAGTAGATGGGAAATGATATATCATGACTTTCATTCAAAGTGAGTTGCAGGATTTTGATTTCTCTGTTGTCATCACTGTTTGTTCTAGTAGATGGTGATGTTCCAATTAGACTATGGTTTTACATTGTCCATTAGTTCATGACATAATTCCTTCTTTTGGAAAAACAATTCTGGGGAATGATATGTCATGGCTTTAATGCACCAGAGTTGCAACCTTTTGATTTCTATGTCTGTTTTCAGGAAGGATGCCGAGGCTTGGTTCGGGGTGCAGAGAAATTTGATGCTTCTAAAGGATTCAAATTTTCAACCTATGCGCACTGGTGGATTAAGCAGGCAGTTCGGAAGTCTCTCTCTGATCAGTCCAGGACCATTCGGTTACCTGTAAGTCTTGCTCACACTTAATCTTGTGCTTGCTGGTGCTGTCACATGGGAAGTCTAAGATAGTCTAATGGACTATGGCAGATTGGTCCTCCACTTTACATCCAGTAGTAGTTCCCCATGGAGGATGTTTGGGGACTAGCTGTACCCAGGTAACTGTCCTTGTGGGCTCCATTCTAGTTAATCTCCCACCATCCATCATCAGGAATGGCATGTGGATGTAGGCTTGAAGTACTATATTTATAGTCCATTGAACTATGGTATAGTTTTCCTTCTTGATTTTCCTTGGTTAGCAAAGGCCCTCAGCTCCACTGGAGATTTGCTTCTTATTTCATCATCAACCTATGGATCAAAATTAATGTTCCTCTGAAATCTGACCATTGTGATTTCGTTATTTACTATTTTTTTTTGGATACATAACCCTTTGTATTCATAAACTTATGGAGTTTCGTGTAAAGCATGAAGGACCAAAGATGTGTGTGGCCTAACTGTGTGGCATTGACTCTTAAGCTCTGTTGCTCTAGGGCCTAGTTTAACCTTCTCACACTCCAACACATGCACAAGGGTCTACAGAATGGTCAAGAAGGGCTGTGACCTACTTTTATTGATCTGTGCGAACTATTAGTGGAGAGATAATTGAGTTTTCAGTGACAATAGGTCTACATCAGGAGCCCATGCCTTTTTGTCTTAGTTATAAACGACTTAACTAGGCACCTGCAAGATGAGGTACTGTGGTGTATGTTTTTTGCGGATGACATAGTTCTGATCGATGAGAACTGAAGTGGCGTCAATACAAAGTTAGAACTTTGGAGGATGCTCTAGAATCAAAAGGTTTTAAAATTAGCTAGACTAAGATTGTATAGAATAAAATTTTACAGATAATAAGATTGACGGCCAAGAAATACTAAAAAAGAGTGCACTCTCAATATGTTGGGTCGATAATTCAAGAAAATGGAGAGATTGAAGAAGATGTCACACCTAGAATTAGGACTGGGTGAGCGAAGTGGAAATGTGCAATCAGAGTTTTATGTGATCACCGTATACCAATGAAGCTGAAGGGCACATTCTATATGATAACTGTGAGACCAGCTTTGCTTTATGGGGTCGAATATTGGGTTTTCAAGGAACAACATACCCATAGGATGAGTGTAGTTGAGATGATGATGTTGAGATGGATGAGTGGCAAGACAAGAAGGGATAGAGTTTGAAATGAATACATTAAGGAGAACTTAGGTGTGACTCCAATATGCGATAAGACGAGAGAAAATAGACTTAGGTTGGTTGGCCATGTGCAGCGCAGACCCAGTGCAACATCTGTTAGGAGGTGCTAGTTAGTTCAAATGGAAGGCTACAAAAAGGCAAGAGGTAGGCCCAAAAGGACATGGTTGGAAGTAGTGAGAAAAGTTATGGGGACTTATGCCCTCACTGAGGGTATCGCCCCTGATAGGGCAGAGTGATGGATCAAGATGTGTGTAGCCCACCCCAAATAGTTAGAAAAAGTCTATGATGATGATAGTTACAATGTATATTTTGCACTAGATGGCCCTCAAGGGTCTGTTGGGGTTTATATAGATGTCAGCTACAATATTTGAATGCAAATACATGCCAACAAGTGTCGGCAAACCCCAATGCATGGCCTGGGTTGAGCCCACCTAGCAGAGATTGGCTACCAAGGTTGGTTATATCGTAACTACTCGCAATTCAAGCCGCCATGACTTGGCCGTTTCATCCACATCTCTAGCCAGTGTTACACCCATGTCTTTGGCCCACCAATGATGGTGGTTCCTCTTTTGAATTTTGAATTTGGGTGCCCACCCAGCCTGGGCGTGCCAATTCACTGTCCAAGTCTCTCTTAGTTGTGAGGCCTAAGCCTACTCGTACCAAGCTCGGCACTTGCCTTCTCCTCCATGATGGGTCAGTTGGCCCAAAGATTGTCCCCCCTCCCACCCTTCCCCCTTTCATATTCGTTTATCCACTTGTATAATTGGATCACCAGGAGAGGTAGGTTCGTACTACAAAGTAGCACAAGACTGTATGGGGCACCCACCAAGCCTCATATTTGGTCGTTGGTTGCGTCAAGGGGGTTGATGCACTGGCCCTCGATCAATATGCATGAACTAAGTTGGGGGTTTGACAAGCCTCTCCCATCAATAGTTTTTGACATCCAGGGTCTATCCAACAAATCTTGGACTAGACCCTCATAATCCCAAGGGGTCACTTCTCGTTTCCAACTGACTTTTTCTTCAGAAAATCCCTCCCAAATGACCGAGAACTCCATTCCTCAATTCTTTTTACTCTGTCCTAACACTGGTTAATACAAGATGACCTCAACCTTCTGTTCAAATTGAGTTTGCACGTTTTCTGGAGCCTGGATTGCTCGAGTCCTTGTCCCATTGTCATCACGGTGATAAAGTTTCTAGAAGCTTACGTGGAGCTCTGGGTGGACCTTGATCCAATTAGGGAGAGCCAGGCTATAGACCAATTTTCCTATCCTCCTGGTCACCTCAAAGGGACCATTATACCTCTTGATCAAGCCACGATGCACTGCCCTGGCACCAATCTACTTCCAAATTTGTGGGGTGGGCTTGAGATCACCCGGTCTCCAACATTGAACTCTAGGTGCCTTCGCCCTTGGTCTGCATACTTGGTGTAGCCAGTCATGGGCCTCCTCCAACTGCTCCTCTTGGGCATTAGCCAGCTTCAGAATATCTGGGAACTGCCTGCCCTTGTTGTAGAACTACATTGTGCAGCACTAAGGTTGCATACCAATGGCTAGTTTGAATGTACTTTCTCTTGTTGAATAACTGTTGTGAAGTTTGCAGCAGAATTGGGCCATGTCTAACAAATTGACTCAGTTAAACTGGTTCACCCTCAAGTAATGCCTGATGTATTCCAAGATTGCATTTGCCCTCTCAATCTGCCCATCTGTTTGAAGGTGGTTGCTAGTAGAGAAGCTTAACTTTGTCCCCATAAAGTGAACAAGCGCCCCCAAAATCTTTTAGCGAACCAAGAATTTCAATCACTCACAATGTCCTCAGGAACACCCCATATGTGGGTGAGGAGTGAGTTTGTGGCTGCCTTGGTAGTGTATTGCTCAGGGGCTGCAACGAAGGTGTTGTACTAGGAAAACCGATCGACCACCACCATGATGTGGCTTATGCTGTTGACCTTGGGTAGTCCATTGATAAAGTCCATGGGCAGGTTGATCTGAGGACCCTTATTGTATGGGAAGGGACTCGAGTAGTCGAGCCGGTATTTGCAGATCCATCTTATCTTGCTGACAAATGAGTAGGTTTGGATATAGTGTTCCATGCCTCCTTTCAAATGGGGCCAGTAAAAGCTCCTTGAAAGGAGCGCGATGTTTTTCTCCTGACCTGGGTGGTCCCAACAGGAGCATCATGAAATTTCCTCAGCTACTCTTTTCAAAGTCCACAAGAGTTCGACACATATATGCTCTTGCCCTTGGCATCGAGGACACTACCCTCTAGCTAAAACTGTCTGGACCGTCCCTTCTGGACTCTCTGCACCAACTTTTGAGCTGTTAGATCTACTTTGGGTCTCTTCCCGAATCTGCCCCAGTAGATCCCCCTCTACTCCACCAGCAGGTGGTCCATCTTTCTACTTAGGGCATCTGGAACCACATTGGCTTCCCCTGGCTTGTACTCCAGGGAAAAGTCAAATTTGGGTAGAAATTCCTGCCAGTGAGCTTGCTGCTTGCTTCGGGGTCTTCTTCTTTTCTGTGGCGAAGTATTTTGTGGCTACATTATTGGTACACACCACAAACCTACTTCCAAATAGGTAATGTTGACAAAGTCTGATGTAGTGCACCACACTAGTCATCTCCTTATGGACTGAGTACCTTGTCTTATTCTCGTTAAGTTTCCTATTTTTGACAGCCACAGGGTGTCCATCTTGGATCAAGACCCTCCAAATTGCCTAGCTTGAAGCATAGGTCTGCACCTTGAATGACCTTTCGAAGTCTGAGAGGTGCAACACTGGTTTCCCGGCGATTGCCGCCTCTTCCACTCCTGAATGGCTGCATCGCAAAGCCTTCATTGACTCCCATTTGACCTCCTTCATAAGGAGATTGGTCAGTGAAACGATCCTCTTGGAATATTCTTTAATGAAATGTCTATAGTAGTTGGCTAGCCCCAGGAAGAAATGTAGCTTATGGACATCTTTAGGCTGTGGCCACTCAAGGATGGCTTGCTCCTCCCCATTGTCCATCTTAATGCCCCCTTTACTAACTTGGTACCCGATGAACATAATCTCCTCTAGGGAAAATATAGATTTTTCTAGCTTTAGGTACAATTGGTTAGTTCTTAGCTTGTCAAGTACCAGCTTCAGATGCTTGGCATGGTGATCGAGGGTTTGGCTATACACGACTATATCATCCAATTACACAACAATCAACACATATATGTACCACCTAAGGATGCCATCCATTAAATGACAAATAGTAGTTGGGGCACTGGTTAAACCAGAGGACATTACAAGAAATTCAAATGAACTGTATCAGGTCACACAAGTTATTTTCTCCTCATCTCCTTCTGCCATGTAGACCTGCTAGTACCTCAAGCACAGGTTGAGTTTGCGGAAGACCCTAGCCTTCGCCAACAGGTCAAAGAAGTCGCCAATAAAGCACAAAGGATATCAATTCATCACTATTTGCTTGTTTAAACTTTAAAGCGCAATAGTCCAGACACAACCTCAATGACCTATCATACTTCTTTTGGAACAACACTGGTGTACGATAGGGAGATATGGACAATTGGATTGTCCCATCTTCCAGTAGCCCATTCAACTTCCTTCTCAACTCAGATAACTCGGATGAAGCCGTATGGTATGGGACTCTAGGTGGTGGCCGCCCACTAGGCTCAAGCTCTATGAGGTGATCGACTGCATGTCCTGGGTGCAAAGTCTTTGGGAGCACTGGAGGCATTATGTCGCATTATGTCATCATAGTCCTATAAGAGCTCTTGGACTGCAGGAGGAACTCTCGAGCCTTTCCCAGCCTCCTTAGTCCCCATGGTTGCTAGGTAAGTCGCCTGCCCTTCCTACAACCCTTCCTTTGGGTGCAGTGTAGACAAGACCTTACCCTTTTCCTATTGCACAAGGACCAGACATGGGCTATCCTCGTCAAAATTTTCCATCACTCCAAGGTGGGTATCAGTAAAGCTTTGGCTGCAATCAGAAACTCCAACCTAAGGATGACATCGAAATCATCCTGGGGTACAACCATTAAAGTAATATGTCCAGTCCATCCTCCCACGCACATTAACACAACTCAGCTACCCCAAAACTGCCTTGGCAGTTGAGTTAACAACCTTCATCTTACTCGAGTCCCCACTCAATTTGAGGTCCAGCCTTGCTGCCTTATAGTTCTCCACAATATTGTGTGTGGCACTAGTGTCAATCATCTCAGGCCTCTTTTCTATTCAATGTAACATGCACACACATGAGGCCACCCTTGGCGGGAGCCACCTTTATAATCCTCTGTATTGGATGCAGTTGACGAGTAGCCCTTATGATGTCTTTCTTCTCCTCACTTACGGTCTTGACAGGATTAGGAGACTCCTTTTGGGGTCAGTTTTTGGCTCGATGGGGAGTTTTGCAAATGAAGCAGCTCAAGAAGTTCTTCTTGGTCCCGACCCGCCAGAAGACACCCCTCTAGACTCTTCCGCTGCTTGAGGTTGTGGATCCCCACTAGCTTTCTTCCCTTGTCCTTTGCCTTTGTCTTGTCGAGAACCTTCCTATAAAGCTGTGAGTTTATATTCCACAAGGTAATCTGAGCATTAGGCTAGAGAACCTTTTCACATACGCACCGTAGCCATTTGCTTGAGTTCCCTCAGGGCTTCTTTTGTGGTTCAGGCAGCATTTCTAGGAAGGAATCGCTCCTTTAACTCCCTCTTGGGGTCCTCCCAGTTCACAACTGGAAGTCTCAACCCATCTGGGGCATGTGTCCTCTGCCAGAGTTTTCCATCTCTGGTGATGTCGAATAAGGTCAGAGTTACTCGGTCTTCTTCTTGTGCATGGGTGACAATAAAGTAATGCTCCATGTCCTTAAGAGCATTCTCTAACTACTTGGCACTCTTAGGTCCACTGAAGGGTTTGGGTTCAGGTACTTGAACTCCAGGTGGCTCAAGTACTTGAACTCCTAGGTCCACTTTAGCTATTTGATCTGTCATTGAAGATGCTGTATCTTAGAGATCCTACAAGCTTGCTCCAAAACCAACTGTTATGGGAGTAATTTTCGTCTAGCCCAACTGTGCAGCCTTGACTTTTAAGCTTGTTTGCTTTAGGGCGAAGTCCGGCCTTCTCTCACACCAACTCATGCACCAAGGTCTACACAAGGGTCAAGAAGGAAGCTACTTTTATTGCTCTGTACAGTTACAAGGTACTACACCAGATGCCTCTCAGGGGTTTGGGCTTGGGGTTCTTATAGATGCCTATTACAATACTTGAATTAAAATACAGGGCAACACATGTTAGCTAGACCCAGTGCATGGCCTCCATTAAGGCCACCTAGGGGCAACTGTTACCAGGATCAGTTATCGTTACCACCCTCAATGCAAGCCGCCATGATTGGGCCGTTTCATCCACATCTCTGGCCTGCCGTTACACTCACGTCTCTGTAGCTGCATCTTTTGAATTTTGAATTTGGGTGCCCTCCTAGCCTGGCACACCAGCTTACTGCCAACACTCACTCTTTGTCGTGAGACTGGCCTTGTCCGCCACGGTGGGTCGGTTGGCCCAAGGTTAGTATTCCCTCTTCATATTGGTTTCTCAGCTCAAATAACTGGACCTCCAGGGGAGTTAGGTCTGTACCACAAAGTAGTAAGAGACCATAAGGGGCACCAACCAATCATCATCTTTGGTTGTTGGCTGTGTTAAGGGGGTTCACGCACCGAGCCCTCTAGCAGCATGCACATACCAGTTAGGGGGTCTGACAGCTAGGGTATATAAAATTTTGCAGTTTTAGAGTAGTGGTAGCGACTGCTGGGTTTTTAGGAGTGTAGATTGAGTCGTCTTTTCTCTTGCCCAGGCGGTCAGCGATTGAGATTATTTCATGTCCATGAAAAGGAAAAAATCTGAATGATCATGCAACAGCCTTGAGGTTTGGTAATCACAATGACTTTGTAGGTTTTACATTTCTCATGTACGTTTTAAAGAATTGTTGTTATTATTATTACTACTACTACTATTATTAGAACTACCCTCACCCTGGCCGATTTATCCCACTAAGCCAAAGCCCAAGGGAAATGTTTTAAAGACTTAACATATGCTAGAAGGTTTTATTAGATACGCTCTTCGATGTCTGGATTTTTTTTTTCTGAAGCTATTTTTGGTGGATTGATTGAGAGGGACTGCTAATCTGACTTCAAAGAACTTATTTATAATCTTCCACTAAAATTCTCGGAATGTATTTAAGTTTTTCTCTCTTGAAGATCAAGGTTTAAGGTATTGGGGCCAGTGGATACCATCTCCTCATAATTGCCTAGATTTTCCTTATGAATCTATGCACTTGTTTTATCATTCACTAATGCCCACTGAATTATGTTAAATTAAGAAATCCAGATGGCAGAAGGGCATATAATATCCATCCTTTTTAAAATTCAGTATACAATTGTTATCAGGTGTTGTATGTGTTTTCATTGAATTTTTCTGATCTGTAACTTCCTTTGTCCACTTCCTATATATTAAATTTAGTTTTTCATGTCTAGAAATCAAGGGGCTCCTGCATATTCCCCCAACACCCCCCCGTCCCCCCTTTTCGATCCCAACACAAAAAGGGTTAAATAAATAAAAATACCGGGGTTTTATTCATCTCAATTTCAAACTACTAATGTGATGACTCACTTTACTATTTCTCTTGGAAGGTTTAACTTCTCGTCCTAGGTCATGTCACAACGTGTAATCTCTGTTACCTTTAGGAAAATATTTGCTCCTTGCTTTGTAAACCTCTATATCTCAATTCTTTGCTGACACTCATTTACTTTTATAGAGCCATTTATTCTTTCTATATTAGAATTACACACCACTAGATGATTTTATCTCATGAATGGTCCTATTATTCTTTTTCTCTCAATGTTACATGGGCAAACAGTTTCACATGGTTGATGCAACGTATCGAGTGAGAGAGGCAACAAAGCAACTATACAGCGAAAATGGGAGGCACCCAAACGACGAAGAAGTTGCAGAGGCCACTGGGTTGTCAATGAAGAGGCTCACCACTGTGCTTCTTACCCCAAAAGCTCCAAGATCTCTTGATCAAAAGATTGGGATTAATCAGAATCTGAAACCTTCGGTATGTTCTTTTCAAATCCCTTTCATTATCTTTCAAAAGTGTCACTAGACTTGTTTGCCCACATGCGTGATAAACCATACATGAATCCTCTATATGAATGCATGCATAGTTAGATGCACATGGACACTGTTGAAGAAAGGAGCTGACTAGTGCTGCCTAAATTGCTTTCGGGTTTTAACCATGTTTTGAATGAATGGCCAGGTTTGCATATGAATGCATGCATGCTTAGATGCACCTAAATCCAGTTTGCAGTCTACCCAGTAAATTCTCTAACAAGTTGGCATAATGAAAAGCTGCAACTGTTTGTGCTCTTAAAATTTGAATATGGGAAAGCGTTGCATGTGAACCCACCCACAGGAAAAGTATATGTGGTATTCTCTGTTGGATTTGAATGGATGGTTGAGATTGCTTATGTCACGATCTCATTCCAAAATATTGTTTGATTTTAATCTTTTTTCTGCAGAACATATTTGAGTGGAGTTTGGGACATCCCCTCTTCATATTGGGGTGCATCTAGCCCCAAAAAAGTCTAAAAATATTTTTGATGAAAATGACCAAAACGCCCCTACAAGTTTCAGGGGTATTCTGGTAATTTTCTATCGCTAGATATGTTTTATTATTTTTATCATGTGCACCTTTATTAGATGTATGCATGCCCCAAATTTTGATGTAAATTGATTTATAGAATAAAAATTAAAAATAAAAAACTGTGAGCCATCAGATCAAGATCTGATGCTCAAGAGCCAACTTGTGACATTGTGACTCAAGCCTTCCCAGCCATCTACTCTGATCTGACAGCTGAGAGCAGGGGTCAATATGCTTTATATGTGGGTTGGCATGTAAAGTAATATACTCCATTTGTCCAAATCAAAATCAAAGACGGAGCGCTTGTACTATGCTCCCGAGGGAGCATACTATACGTTTACTCCCTTGGGCAGAAGACTGAAGATTTTTTTGATCCGAAATTTTGGGAACAACTAGATGATTATATTAAAAATAAAAAAAACTGAATTTTGAGTTTTTTGACACTTAAATCTTGCCCATTAGAAATTGAACGGATTCTATTCGATCTTGAGGCATTTTTATTTTTTAAGCCAATAGAGAATGCATTTGGAAATTTCTTTTATTGAATATATCATATGGTTGAAGAGGTTACATCCCCAAAATTTGGAGTGGTAAATATACTCCGAATTTGGGTTTTGCATAAGTAAATGGACATTATACTCCCCAGGAGCATGCAATCTCTTGGCATCAGAGATTAAATTGTATTGTAGACTCCTGAGATTCTTGTTGAAAAGGACAGGCATCACATGTGCGGTAGTCTGGGCATAAGTATGTGGATGCTTATACAAACCTCTCTCTCTCACATGTCACTAGACAAACATGTAGAATTATCCAAGTCACGTCCATCACAAATGGAAATGCACCAGATTATTAGTAAAGATGGAGATGCATGCACATCCCCCTCTTACATTCCCATGTCTCTGTACTATATCTGGGAATTATCCAAGACCATCTTTTCATTATCGGACATGGAGAATCTACCAGATAAATTGTATATATGCAGATTCATGTGCATCTCTCCTCTCTCCTCTCTCTCCCCTCTCTCTCCACCCACCCAACTTGCTGATATGTGGGGAATATTCAAGTCACGTCTCATCACCATCAGAAATACTACAGACTGGTAGCATAGATGCTGATGCACGAACCTCTCTCTCTCATGCGTGCACACACACAGAGCAGTAAGAGATATCGGACACAGAGCATGGTAAGAGTTATCGGTACAAGTTGCATCATTTTCTCCTCAGATGCCACAGACTACTAGGATAACTGCCCATTCATGCATTTCAGGTTATCGGTACAAGCCGCATCATTTTCTCATCAGATGCCACAGACTAGTAGGATAACTGCCAATTCATACATCTCTCTCTTTCTCTTGGCAGATATTTATAGAGATGTAAAATCACATTTTCCCATCAGACAAAGCAGACTTATTTTATAGATGAAAAATGCATGCACCCATCCTCTCTCTCTCTACACGTTTGTATACAGATGCTCTATACATAAGGCGCTAGAGTTAGGATCAGAAAAAAGTTGTATGTCTTTTTGTTTGAGATTCAGGAAGTGATGGACCTCTCTCTCTCTTGTGAATTCAGGAAGTGATATCGGACCCAGAAGCTGAAACAGCAGAGGATCTATTGATGAAGCAGTTTATGAAGCAGGATCTCGAGAAGGTTCTGAATACCCTGAACCCAAGGGAGAAGCAGGTGGTGAGATGGAGATTTGGGCTCGAAGATGGGCGGATGAAGACTCTCCAAGAGATTGGTGAGCTGATGGGAGTTAGTAGAGAGAGAATTAGGCAGATTGAATCAAGTGCCTTTAGAAAGCTCAAGAACAAGAAGAGAACCAAGAATCTTAGGCAATATCTACTTAGTAACTAACTGGAACTCAAGGGAGTGTTTCTGCAAATATGGCAAGGTTGATAGGTCACTTTAGTGATGGCATTCTCTCTCTTCTGCACATGCCATGATTTCGGTCTCGCTGTTGTTGTCCTGAATGTCCTATCTGAGTGGACAGCCCGAATGAATTGATGCCTGCCTCGTAGGGAGACATGGAATCCGGACCATCCATCAGCTTGCCATCTCCTTTATTTTGTAGGTAAATATATATTGTTGGTTTTGGAATTTGAACAATCTCATGATAGAGAAGCAAGATGTGATCGGGCTCCTCGCTTTATATAAGATATTTCAGTTTTATTTATTCTTTTTATTATTTTCACAACAAATGTCGACGATTGTGAAAATTGTACTCTGTTTGCATGTTGAATTGGCAGAGTGCGAGAGAAACGAAGAAACATTTCTTTTAGCATGTTGTTGCTAGGGATTTGCTTCCCCCCTTTTCTCATACAGAACATTGCTGGGATTAATATCAGAAAATGGATATGATACACGGAAATGTATCATGCCCTTCTTAATTTCTCAAAAAAACTATAGCACTAAAAGATGTCCCTGTCTCTATTTATTAAGACAGGAAATGAGTCTCTTACATTGGATATTGGGGTTCAGCCCACAATACACATTTATATAACTATTGGAAACTAACACCCGCTGCTTCGGAAACGCCTGTTCCTTCATGCTACAGGGAGGGAGTCAGAGGGAGCAGAAGTCACCAAAAATTCTCATGGGAGAAAGAGAAAAGGGGTTATGGCACCCTCCATCCAGAATGAGAGAGACAGATATTACATCCATTGGAGCCAACCAAGAGGAAGGAAAGAATAGTAGGGGAGAAAACAAAAAGTGTCCATCTACCATAGCTTAGACAAAATGGAAGAGAGGGAAGCCAGAGTATGAACACTGAAGAGAAAATAGGGGATGATAGAAGAGGCGTGAGTGTGTGAGAGAGAGTGATCGAAGGGGTAAAAGTGAGAGAGAGAGCGGTGAGTGAAGGACCGAAAAAAGGTGAGGATAAAAAGGAAAGTAGAGAGAAAAGATATAATAGGATAAGCCTAGACAATGGAGAGAGACAGCAAGGAGGGAGAGAAAATGGTGGGGAGACTGAGAAGAGAAACTCCCCCAAACAAAAAAAAACAAAATTCTCTCTTCCCTATCAAAACACCATTTTTCTCTCTTTACCTCACCTTTAACCTCCTCAAAGCAGCATAAGCAATCAACCTATACCCCACCATCATCACCACCAAGGCCCCCACATCCCTCCCCTTATTCCCCACCCCAACATTTGCCACCGCAGGCAAATCCACAACCCTACACAACCCCGTTCCGCAACCGTACACATCCCCTTCACCATACTGTACCCCTAGCAACAACTTGTAACAATAATAACTAAACGAGACATACTTCAACCAGGCAATAAAAGATGGCACTCTCTGAACGTAATAACCTCCCGCCAAAAGGAAAACGAGCGTTATAACGGAGGCGAGCGTGGTGCCCTTCTTAACGTCCATTAAAACGGCCCCCAAGGCGAGACCCAGGCCCTGCGAGACGAGGACGTTGAGGAGAATAACGAGCAGGGTGAGGGTAAAATTGGTAAAGGTGGGTTTTAGGCCTCCAGTGAAGTAAGAGAGGAGGACAAAGAGGGTGGGGAGGGCGAGTTCGGTGGGCAAGTCGCCTAGGGTGCGGGCCGTGAAGTAGGAGGAGAGGCGATAGTAGGATGAGGTGCGTTGTTCTTTCATCAGGATGGCCCGTTCTTGTGGGAAAGCGAACACGGCGTGAAAAAGAGGAAAGAATCCCCAAAATATGGAGTAGAAGAAGAGGAGACCAATCTGCATACACAAAATATATCATAATCACAAACACCTTAAAAAATGGCTTTCAAGATGGGTACAATTAAAGAAACACAAAGCAAAATGTTAAGAAAATAAGAGCCAGGCCGGGACGGCCAAACAGGGCAAGGCCTCTATTGCCCTGTCCCAGGCCCTACCCACGGGCGACATTTTGTGGACCAAGCCCAAGTTTTTTAAGGCCGAGCAAACCGGGCGGGCTAAACTACCCCGCCCATTGCCCAAGAGAGAGGAGCACACCTGATCTTGTATATGGGAGATGGTGGAATGCCACCACAGAAGGCCGGAGAGTATCGAGACGGTGGTGACTTGAAATATCCGAAGACCTGAGAAGGCCTCGTGTTTCCTCTCTTTCAGACCTCTCTTCAACAACACCCTCACTTGCTCCCACCAACTGGTGCCCCATTCTTCCTCCACCCTACCTGTTCACACGTGCCACAACGCTCCTTTACACTTTCCTTGTAAAAAGCAGGCATAACACACATGTGACTATAAAGCAAATTATTCCCATGATTCTAGCTTTGTCCCAATCATTTCATTTGTCTTAATAGAATACAAATATAAAATGCTCTAATTTTGATACATGTAGCACACAAACAGTGTACTCCTCGAGTAACCTGGACCACATTGTCAAGAAGGGATGGTTGATATGAATTGTTCTACCACAAAGAAACCACTGACTTGAGCAGAGAATGATTCATCTCATCCGTCCAATGCAGAGAACGGACGGTTGAGGTTCATGCAGTGTGTTCTTTGTACTACCCAACATGTATCATAGTATTTTCCCCTCTATAACGTAAAAGAGAGTTGTGCGGTGTGTTCTTTGTACTACCCTAAACGTATCATAGTGTTGTCCCCCTCTATTAACTTAAAGGAGAGTTGTGCGACTACGCACTATATCAAGACATAACTAGGGGCATGTATGCGTGTGTCTATATGATGCATCTCTTTATGTACGTCACTGTAAAAATAGGAAAAATTATGCCAATACCGTAAGTAAAATAGGGAATTACACATAGGTCCAAGTTTTGTAAATTTCATATGGTGGTCCAATTGTTTTTTTTTATCAATTTTGCCCCTAAGTCTGATTTGTTTTTTTCTCGATTTTGCCCTTATGTCTGATGTTCTAAACACCAGATCATTTTTTTCATTTTATTTTTTTTTTTAATTTTTTTAAAGTATAGGAACTTGTACGAGACTTTGATCCTTAGACCGGTACCTGGACTGTGAATTTCACAGTCTAGGGATTGCCTTGAGGTTTTAGACCTCAGACTACTGCTTCGACAATGCTCAACAAGTCAAGCTGTCTTAGATTTGGAACTTCGAACCAGTCCCTACACTTCAAAAAAACAAAAAAAAATAAAAACCCATATTATGTTTGGAACATCGGATATTAGGAAAACTTAAAAAGGACAAAAAAAAAAACAGCAAAATGTTTGGCCTTCAGACCGTTGGACCTCATTGTAAAGTTTGACAAACTTGGGATCTCTATGTAATTACCATATTGAAATATTGTATAGAAACTTTCCAAAAGAATGGCCTATGCGGCTTTACAGGCTATTATGCATGCACACACTCTATATATATATATATATATATGCATATAGAAAGATAGTTACTTCTGCAAGCCACGCTGTATTGGTTGGGGGTGGAAGGTGTACTGCGAAGCTCAGCTTTCAACCTTGGAGAGATGTTTTCATTGTATGCTGAAATAAGAAGTTGATGTACCAACTTTGGGTCTTGCTCCTCCAAACTATTTCCCTCACCTTGATCCTCCGAATCAATTTTGCTAGGTGGAATGCCTACACATCCACACACCCAAAAAAAAGGGAAAAAAAGAAAAAAAGACAACGTCCAAAAAGTCAGACCTGCAATAAAATCAAAACATTCATAATATCATATATTTCACGTTCTTACCGTTTGGTACTTCAAAAGTTCAGTCATTTTCAAGGAACCCTTTCCACCGACGTCATTTTTTTTTGTTCTTTTGTTCTTTTCTTTTTACCATTAGTAGTAAGCCTTCGCATCCCAGGATACCAAAGAAAAAGAATTTTTTTCTTCTTCTTTCTAATCTAATGGTTTAAATGAATGTTGTAATTGTTATCACTTGCCCAAAAAGAAAGTAGGTAAATACTCAATTTTTTTTTTTTTTGCCCAGAAAGGAAAATTACTAGGACATCTTTATATGCAAGGGTATTTTGGTAATTCAGTGAGTGCTTTCTGCCTGTACTCTGGTTTGAAGTCAGGAGATCAAAAATCATTGGCATTAAGATTGTACACATGAATAAAATAGAAATAGAAATATAGAGGCCAATTTTTCTTTTGAGAAGTGATTGTTTTAGCCCTCCATTTCCCTAGTTGTATGATAGTTTTGGAGAGAAAGGACATACCATTAGCTAGATCCAACAAGAAGTCTGCGGGGTTCATGGCGACAGGTGTTGAGAATCCAACGGCCGCGAAATAACCCATGGCCACTGATGCCTGACCATGGTAAATAGGTGCTCCCTCAGATAGAACCACCACCTTGTCAAACATATGATACAGCCTACTAGAAGGTTGGTGTATGGTGGTAACCACGGTTCTGCCCCCTTTGGCTAGCCCTTTAACCATGGTTAATATCTTCATGGCTGTGGTTGAATCCAAACCGGAGGTTGGCTCATCCAACAGCAGTAAAGAAGGATTAACCAACATCTCTTGGCCTATGCTGACCCTCTTCCTCTCTCCCCCTGAGACCCCCCTTAACAAGGGCCCTCCAATTATGGTGTTCTTGCACTTGCTTAAACCCAGTTGATTTAGCACATGCTCTGCTTGCTCCAACTTCTTGGCCCTAGTTATGGAGTCCGGCAGTCGGAGCAAGGCGGCAAAGGTTAGGGTTTCGGAGACTGTAAGATGGGCATAAAGCACGTCGTCTTGCGTCACGAAGCCAATTCTTCTCTTCATGGAGCTTGAGAAAGGATGATTGTTGTAAGTGACAAAGCCAGAGTGTTTTCCTGGTAGCCTGCCCCCGAGGGCGGTGAGGAGGGTGGTCTTGCCGCTGCCCGAGGGCCCTAACATGGCTAGTATTTCACCCGGGCTCACGATTCCGGTGAGCCCGGTTAGTATTGTCTTCTCGACAATCAACTTTCGGGTCGGCAGGCATTCGCCTTGTGCTAGCTTCACCTTGTAGCCCACATCTTCAAACTACACAAGCAAACACGACACACTCATCCCGCTGCAAACACTCCAATGAAAAAATACAATGTGGTGCACTGCAGTTCACTGTTACTAAGCTACCAGTCATCTCCAACCGTCCATTGTCTATGTCAGATGGCTGATTTGACCCTTCCTCCTCTCAATGTCTCACTTTGGGAGAGTAAGTGGGCGGTTCAGGTCATTTGGAGTTGACTATTTATATTCCGCATGCATTACTACGATCTTTGATGTCTTAATGTCTTAGAACAGCCACGTTTTTTTAATTGTTTATATTATTATTATTATTATTATTATTATTATTATTATTATTATTATTATTATTATTATTATTATTATTATATCTTGCATGCAATAATAGAATATGAGGTTAAAATTTTTTTTAAAAAAAAAAAAGAAAAAAGAAAAAAAAACAAAACATATGAAGTCCTTTTGAACTGTTTTTATCTAGAAAGGGAGTTTTTAAGGGTATCTCTGTCATAGTTTGTATGTAAACGTAGGAAAGGAGGGGGGAGGGAGGGGGGGGGGTGTGCGGTGGTAGCACCCAATACTTAATTAATGCGTTGTGGTTTCTAATCATGCTGACACCACCCACACTTAAAAAAAAATCCAACTCCCTAATTTATCTAAAAAAATAGGGGTTGTCTTCCTCATTAAATTACTCAAAAAAAAAAAAAAAAAAGTATCTACAGATAATTATAATGTTACGGCTGCTTCGTAGCAGTCCATCAAACATTATTAGAAATTAACCAAATTTAAGCTCGATCAAAGTTAGTGAAGATTTATGATGCATGTGAGCATCCTGCACATAAACTACAATTCCTATATAAAAAAGGAGGGACAACCCTGCCCATCATTCTATCTTGGTACAAAAGAAAAAAGAAGCTTGGTACAAAAGAAAAAGGAAGAGTTATAAATGGTAGGGCCATAAAGAAGAATGGTGGGCAAGAAGGAGAGGAGATGAGCTCATCTCTTCTCCCCACAATATTCCATCTCAAAGAGAAAATTCATAATTTCTCAAAGAGAAAATTCATAATTATGTTTCCAAAAACTATGAGGAGTAATTATGCCTAATGAATATGAAGGAAAAAAAATAAATTTAATTGTTCATCTTCAAACTAAAGACCCTCAACAATTTTGTTTGAGAAGTCTTTCTAAGAAATACAATTGTTTTTTGCATTTCAAAGATATTTCAAAATTGGAATATCTTATCAAAAGCTGGTTCAATATTATTGCAATAGCAACCCCATGATGCACCAAGGGTAACAAAGATTTCAGCTTCCATTCCCATCATGCCAAAAGTTAAGTTTCTGCATAATGCAACAAATGGGTCACATATGGCCTCTTCCCACCTCTCAAATGCCCATGCTCAACCTCAAGTTTTAAATAAAATATGTTTAAGAGAGAGATACTCATGTTCATAAAAACTGTGTTTGTTGGATAACGTGCTAAGAACTATCATGAGGAGAGAAGTGCTAACTCATTTTTCATGGAACCTTGTGTTTTTGTAGAGAGAGAGAGAGAACTATCATGGAGGATAGAGAGAGTGCTAACTCGTTTTTCATGGAAGCTTGTGTGTTTTAGTAGAGAGAGAGAGAGAGGAAACCTTGAGTGTCACAGGGCAAAGAGCAAGGCCCAAAGGCGAAGAAGCCCCGCTCTGCGTCAATCTCCGTAACGGGTCTCCTCCACCGTCTGCCACGTGGCAAACACCGTCAGTCTCATTTGAGGTTTGCTCAGACGGCGCCATCTCCCGAACCGAACTCCAAGCCTAAGTTACGGACTCTTAACGGCCACTGAAGATCACGGAGTTAGGCCCCTCTGACGCCGTTAACTCCAGAATTAGGGCACAACAAAAGCTGTTAGGCCCATGGACTGTCCTCTATAATAAGAAGTGGAAAGGCTTTGGTGGGATTTATATGAGAGCCCGTGACACCCCATATACGTCAAATATTTAATTATTATAAGAAAAGCATGAGACATGGAATTTATTACAAAATATTATTTTATTGCAAAAAAAGCCAAACAAATCGAATCACAGAGTGACTAAAGAGATTTGAATATCTGATAAAAACCCAACATTGGTATTTTGGTTCTTTTTTTAAGGCTTTTGACTGGCCATGAGAATCTAGAATTGCCCTTTGTGCCCCTGAATTTTCATTGGATTTACATTATTTCGATTGTTAATTAAGTTTCTAGTATTGCATTTATTTTTATTTTAAGTTGAATTTTACTATGGTAATGATGAAATGACAGATACGCCTGCATGAAATGCACAACACGCGGATCATCACCATTAGTAATGTAGGAAAGATAAAAATGATGAACAAAAAGAAGATAAACTTAAAAAAAGAAAAAAAAAAAAAGCTTGAGGAGATGTTCCTTCACTCGTTCACATTAAAGTTAAGAAATTTAAATGTATCATAAGGTCTAGAAGGCAATCCACCCAAAAATTCCTTTCCCCCCCAGCCCCAGCCCCAGCCCCAGGCCCCGCCCCCTTCCCCCCCGCCCCCCTAAAAAAAGTTAGTCTTGGTCTTGTGAATAGGCCATAGAGCGGGAATATTCTCTCGTATAAAATTTTAGTTTTTAAAGTGTTAGTAGAATTGAACTTGCCATTACACTGATGAGGAATCTGGTCAAAATCGGTTAGTTGAATTGGTTGGAATGAACTTTTTTTTTTTAAAAATATGTATAGTATATTTACAAAAAAATTGTCCAACTTTTTTTAGCTAGTCTAACTAGTCAAAGCTGTCTAGTCTGAAGTCAAAATTGGTCAAAAATTAGTTTAACTGAGTTTTTTCGGACCATACTAACTGACGTACTAATTGATGAGTTAGCGAATTCAATCTAGTTTAGATAAACATGTTTTCCCCTGCTGCCTACATTATTCAAAAGATGATATGCATTTTTTCATTTTCTTGAATGTTAAAGTTTCATCAGCAACCATGTTAAAGCAATTCCAGAGTATGGGCTTAAGTCCAAAATATGATGTGCCGAATCCATGTGGGCTTCCTTGCCTCAACCACATTAAACACAATAAATATGAGTTATCACATGTACACAAAAAAATCTAGTAATAATTGTTTAAATCTCTGGACTGATTTTTTGGGCCAAAGTAAGACACACGCCAAGAGTCCTCGATGTTTCTAAGGCACATGGTTACGGACTTGTGGCCATTTCATGTAATTGGTTTCTCATAATCTTCTATGATCATCTTATATTTTTGGGCAGAGAATGGGTCGGGGCAAGATCTACTGGGATCAGGATTTGGACTAAAAAATTATACATGCGATCCAGATCTAGATTTGGACCTGACCGCATCTAGAATATTTTGATCCAAATCTAGAACCACAAAGTATATATGGAATCTGGATTTAGATCTAGATCC